CCCGGTCTCCCCTAAATAGTGGCGATGATACGAGAGGAAATTTCTTTTGTTTGGGGAATTCTCTTTCCGACTTCCGCAGGGGATAAGAATAGCGCCCGTACACGGGACTCGCGCCAAAATATTTCGACGCTTTTTCCCTGGACGTGTCAGGTGGTCGGGCGGCTGGCATAAGCGCACAAATCCTTTTCTGGCAAATTATTCTCCTCCCGCAATTAAAGTTTCCGCGCTTCTTCCGTCGGGGGTCGACCAAAACTTTCCTTTTTGTAAACTTTTATTTTGTCTAAGGCCAGGCCCGGGGGCAGCCGATTTAAGGGAAACCGGACCCTTTTCGGGTGTTACTAACGTCTCGAAAACTCCCCCGTCAGCTACCTGTGTTATCCACACGGCCGCCGCGAGGCGAATTTTTACTTTTGGCCCGCTCCCGCTTCCACTCGTCACTCCACGTCCCAGCATCTGAGGGTGAACGTATTTGCATCTGACTTTAGTGGTCGCGACTTTCCTTTTAACCGTCTGCAAATTAAAAACAAACGCTCTTTTCCCCATTCCATTGTAATCATCGTTTAGTAATTACAATCGACTTTATAATTATCCTTTAATGACGGAAATAAAATATTTCTTCCGTTCCCCGTTTTAATCCACTGGACTTTGATCATCGTCAGTCCGGGTGGGCGTGACACCCCGTATCTACCACCCGGTCTACCTTTAACTCCAAAATTTAATACGGCGCAATCCTGTTAACTCGAGTTTGTGGGGGGGGACTTCTTACTCTGAGTTAAAACGTTTCGAGTTACGGAGGATGGGCTAAAAATAAAGATTTTGGGCATCGACTTATCGGTGACCGATAATAAACTATCTATGCGATGTTTGAGCGTGTCTTATTACGTACAATCGTCGTGTCAATCGCGTGGTATTGTTTACAAACTCGAAAACGTTTAACCCAATGGGTAAATAAGCTAGGGGAAAATGAAATAAAACACAAAAAATGTTCGAAAAAAGCGGGTTTGAATGGCATTTACAGTATTTAGGTCACCCACGCTGCTGGCAGCCATCACCCCCCGCCCGCCGTCACACGACACGATGTTTTATTTTAGTCGTACGTGGTTCCCGAGTGTTATAGAAAGTTTCTGATTGGTTTATTCGCTCGATTAGAGATTCCTACCGGGGTACACGCTTCATTGTTTAGGCATACGCGAATAAACTAATAATGACAGAATATTCGCATTCCGCATTGAGAACTTTGACGACGTCGCGGCACTCCACGCTAGTTTATGTAAAAATATTACATTTTTACTGTATTTATCTGCGAACTTCCTTCAAAGTTTTTCCATTACAACGCTGTATAACAGACCAAGGAGTCATTGTTCGAAGAATATGAGAAATATAGCTTAGGAAAGTGAACTGCCAAGGGGTGCGCCAGTCAAAGAAGGTTGGGAACAGCTACGGTAGATGGACGTTAATTATTTTATTTAAATGAAAATTAAAATATCAGAGAGTTTGTAAAAGTACCGAATCAAAACCCCGTTATAGTTAAACAGTTTGGTTGAACGTGTAAATCCTTCTGCTAGACGATGGGGAAAGAAAATGGCTTAGTAAACGCCAATTCGAGATAACCAGATTCTACTGTATATTGTATTTTGGGTGGTAAATTTAATAAGGTAAAGTTTAAACACTTTGCATTTATATTCTAAGGTAACAAAATAAACTAACCGATGAAGGATATAGGCCTACTGTATATATCCGAAATATATAGTATATATTGCTTTAATAAAACGAGTTGCTTATCTTTCCAGGCAATATTTCGGGGCCCTATCTGTTACGATATTTTATTAAGAAGAATTTTCTACATTTTTAACTATTATAAAATGGCAAAAACTTAATTTTGAAGGCAGGGATGGATTTTTTAAACAATTGTAAATGCTAATATCGAGTAATAATAATGCTAATATCGTAAAGTTAGACCCTACTCGCGATACGGAACGATCCCCTTCGCCTCCCCAACTCCTCGACCTTTAACCACCAAAATTTAATAGCATCGATCCTCCTAATATATAAATCTCCTAGCGAAATTACAGAAAATTTTGACAAAAACCAGAGGAGTTAAGCTTCAAAGGTGGTGAACAAAATCGTCCTTCCCGAGTACACTAATTTCTATACATATGGGAAAAATCCCGAATTTTTTCCTCGACGTTTCAAGGTCCCTCGAGTCCAAAAATGTGAAAATCTTGGGGGGGGGGTCAGGTTTTTGATCGACGTCATTTTCTCTGTTATATATAAAAGCCGGAAAAGTAAAAATCTCGAGTTAAATAACTACGATTTGTTAACACCTTTTGGAATGTTAGTAAATTAGTAGCTATTTAGAATATTATAAAATAAAATTCATTGGAATATTTGGCTAGAAAAGCCAAAAAACATGTGGCAAGTCATAAAAGATGTGGCGTATATTCCGTGGAAAACATATTGTTTAAATCCGCAGATTCGTAGTTTAAATTTGCCGGCTATTTAACGCGCATTTCTGTGTTTGGGGTTCGGCCACAGCCCACCCCATCCGCGTATTAACGGGCGGTAACAATTTCTTTACAACAAACGGTTGCAATTTAGTAAGGGGTCGGGACGATCGTAGTGTTTCGTAGTGTTAATTTTCCGAGTCCGGTGGCGAAGAGTAGCGGCGTCTTCCCCAATCCCGGCGCAAGTCGAAATTATTCGGTATAATAACGCCGAAACAGCTCGGACGACGGTCACCGCCAGGTAGAAGGGGTGCAAAATTAATTCGTTGTTTAGCCCTAATAAAAAAAAAATAGACTTTTCTCGTACCGCCCACTGTCCGTACAGCTTTATTACTTATAACCAAAGCCTTTAGAACAGCTAGTAACTCAAGTTTTCAAGTACTGGCTAAGAAACCACCGATTGATTTGAGTATTTTACAGAGGAGAAAACTTTTAAGACTTAAATGGGGCAAACCAGTTCAGACTAGGACACGCTTAATAACAACTAATGATGTAGAATGGGATGTTCCTTTTTGTGATACTCCTTCTTTTGATAATTTTATAATTGGATTATCTACTTTTATCCAACAGACTCAACTCCATATATTCACTGACGGTTCGAAAATTAACGATTCGATTGGCTGTAGTTTTGCAGTATACAACAGCAATAATCACGAATTATATAATCAAATTTTTCGTTTGGATAACTACTGTACCGTATTTCAAGCTGAATTAATTGCAATTAAAGTGTGTGTTCATTGGGTCCATGCAAATTATATAAATACAACTACTCATATTTATAAGGATTCATTGTCAGCTAACAGCCTGATCAACAGCACAAAGTTGCATCCAATAGCAGAAGACATTGGCAACCTAATAAGGCACTCTAATTCTAACTTTATTATTACTTGGGTTAGAGCCCATCAGGGGCTAATTGATAATGAAAGGGCTGATGAACTGGCCAAGTTGGCAGCTACTGATAACTCTATTCCTATTATCTATAATAAATTAAGTCAGGGCTCTGTGAAAAGAATTCTTTGGGAGGATACTCTCAATACTTGGCAAATGATTTGGGACTCCAATAGCGAGCACATCACACACGAATTTATACCAAATCTACAACAATTTTTCAAAATTTGGTGGTTTGAACCTGACTATTTCAGTACCCAGATACTTACAAATCATGGTAAATTTGCATCTTATCTTAATAGATTTACTAATAGGCCCACAAATTACTGCCCCACATGCCTTGTTATTGATGGTTGTAGGCACTATTTCTTTGATTGTGTTAACTTCGAACATAAAAGATTGGAACTTCAGCTTCTTTTAAATGAAAAAATATTAATTGGCCCTGTCAATTAAATGATATTCGGTTGAATATTGACGTTTTTAAAGCCTTTAAAGGTATGGCCAAAAGTATTAATCAATTTATCCATCATTACATTTATAACTAATGATAGGAATAGGTTAATTAATTTTCTTTGTATTTCATGGAGTTCTATATTTCTTAATATATGCAATTGTATCTTTGGGACGTTCTTTCTTTTAGTTTATTTTAATACATCTGTGAATTCTCGATGGTAACACTATTGCTTATATGTTGGAATGGTCTGTCTTGCATTCAGGGGCAACATCCCTGAACACTTTTAGTCTGTTTTGTCTGTCTGTTGCACACCCTACATTTAGCATTATATATATTGGCTATCTGTATTAACATAAATATTTTGATTAAGAATCGCAAATGCTGTCCAATTCAATAAAGAAGTGTAGTGTTCGGCGTTCTCATACTGGATTTGCCCACACTGGGTCTACTTGAGTTCATTCTACCATGATGTGCTTTCACCTATTCTACAAGAAAAAAAGTTTTTTACATCATACACCTGTGCTTAGTGTCATTCCAAGTATTTGTGTTGTGCCTGTCATATAGTGTTATTTCATTTGTGCATTATAGGCACAATCTGTTTAGTGCATGGTCGGTGAAGCTCCCTGGAACTTTACAGGGAACGCTCACTTTAATAACTTCCTAAATATGCACTGTGCACAGTTTTCGTCATGTTATTACACAATTGGGACCAAATATGACTCTGCCATTCTAGTCGATATTCCACAGCTACATGATTCTACATTCCTGTGGTTCAATCATCAACTAATTTTCCCGGTACTTTCGTCGGATGATAATTTCGGTGATAATTTTCCTGCTACCAAACATTCAACGCTATTTTTTTTTAAATGTCGACTTAATATAGACAGAGGACAGTTGTGTCTTTTTATGTATCTTGTATCTTGTAAATGTGTAATTTATGTGTTTGTAAACTTTTCCTGGTAATGCTCTACAGCGAGGCCAGGAAATGTACAGTACATAATATTGTACCTAATAAATTAAAATGAATGAATGAATGTCCGTCCGTCCGTTACCTCCGAAAACGGAGAACGCGGGCCCAACGCGGAGAACCTTTCCGCGAATTTATCATTTCTGGCCTATCCTCTTTTTCCCTGACAAAGGATTTTTTCTTTCAGCCGGAGGAACGGCGGCGCCGGAGACCACCGAGGAGGTGCCTTCCACCCACACGCCGCACGTGCTGTCCGCTTCCAAGACGGTGGTGGTCAGGAGGGGCGAAGAGGCCGTCTTCGACTGCGAGGTGGACGAACTGGGTGAGTGTGTTCCTGGCCTAAGAAATGTTTGTAAACGTCTCTTAGCCATTTTCTCCTTGCCGAACGGCGATTCGGTCGATTATTAAAAGAATATCGACGCGAATTATTCCGCGCGGTCTTATCGAATACGCCAAAACTCGTCGCGCGCATTTCTAAAAGGGCTGCGAGGCGAAATTCTCATGGCCGAATGCGTCCGTCCCTCCCACCGGTACGTTTCTCGCTTTTCCAAACGTCTCTGGTCTTCCCCATTGCTTTTAATTATACCACGGAACCGTGGGAGAAGAAAATCCGGCGCCCTCGGCCGTCCTCCCGTCTCTTCCACCTCGGAGCTTCTTCTTACTTCGACTTTCTACTGTCGCCCGCCCAGCCGACGTTTCGGTGTTCTTTCCCGATAAACTACGCGGCGGCCGCTAGAAACTTTGGCTCTGTCCGACGTTCTTAGGCGTAAAATGCGTGGACGAGGTGCCGGCGGGTGATTCCGACGTCGACGCGTACTCTTCCCGGGCAGAGGAAGGGCGCGGTGCCCGGTTTCCGCGCCCTTCCTCCGCGCAGGGAACGGCGGCTAACAATGGACTGTCGACAGGAGGATTCGCCAAGGTGTGGAAAAAGGACGGCGTGCTCTACTTTACCAACGACTTCGACTTCGTCCGAGATCCACGCGTCCGACTGAACGAAGACGGATCCCTGCGCGTCCTGGAGATCCGACCCGGAGATGCCGGCGAGTACGTCTGCCAGATCAGCACCGAGAGACCCCTGGAACTGCGTCACCGCCTGGTGGTCATCGGTAGGTGCGCTTTTTTCCTCCCTCCGCCGCCGCCGCCGCCGTCGTCCGCTGACTCTGCCTCTTTTCAGTGCCCCCTAGCGTGGAACCCGTGCCCGGAAGCGGAAGACTGACCGTCGGTCTGGGACAGAACTTCACCGTCGGATGTCGGGCCGAAGGATCTCCCGGTCCCACCGTCACCTGGACCCGCCAAGTGAGTAACCACTTCCGTTTAACTTTTCCAGCGCCAATTCCATCGGCCTTTGTTCCCCATTTCTTGGAAATAATTCCGTCACCGCGGTCGTCAGACGACTCGTCCCTACCTTTTTTTACAACACGGATCTTCGTCCCCATTGGCCGATTACGATTTACCGGACCGACGACCGCGGATAAGTGGAAAGGGCGCTTCTTTTCGTAATTGTGTAGACCGAAGGCGGAAAATTAATCGGGGTTTGTCTGTTGGCAGAACGAGAATGGAGAGAAACAAGAGGCGGGAGAAGGAACCGTGCTGCAGGTGTCGTCGGCGAAAGAGAAGGACTCCGGAGAGTATCGCTGCAGCGTCAGTAACGGATACGATCCAGCGGTGGAGGCTTCCATTCTAGTCGACGTGGTCTGTAAGTATCCTCTTTTGTTAAAGGCGGACGGACTCCTTTGACCGTCTCGGAAAATTAGGGGCTTTCGATTTCGTTTATATTCATTTTAATTGTCCAATCACCGAGGACTATTTGGACCTCGGAGAGAAGCAACGAGCATCTTCCTTGTTCATCTTTCCTTGTTGAATCGATATCAACCTTACTATCCTCCAGAACTTCCTTCAAAAATGAAAGTCCTCGTGACTAAAACAATTGTTTTTTTTTTTTTTTGTTAAAATTATCAAATTTTACATCAATTTAGACAAAAAGTACCTCCCCAGATTTCGCATAACGAATCGAGGCTATTAAATTTTCGTGGTTAAAGGTCAAAGAGTGTTGGGTGGTGTGTTCCTATCTCTAGTGGTGTCGTGGCACGTATACCTTAAAGTAAGGGTTTTCCGTTTTATTATAAATATATAACCTATATTAATTATTATAAAATATTTATTAACTATCTATTATAAATATATATATATATTTTTAATTATTAAAAAAGTAATTAATTACATAAAAATGACGTTTTAATACAATGTCAACAGACGGATTTTATAAATTTAAAATATTGATTATAATGCAACCAAATTACTCCTTTTAATTATCATTATTGAAATTTTATATTACACTACTATATAATTGAAAATGATGGTAATTTCTTCCCGTTATCCTTAATCTCCCGTTCGAATGCAATTGGAATATCGATCTATTAATATGGAAAGAAGAAAGGAAGAAGATTTGCAAACTTTGGCCCGGGAATTTCGATTTAAAGACAGGGAAAATGTTTAAATTGTCTTCGATCGTCTATTGAGCTTCGAAAAACCTCTTGGTGGTTGTAAAGTACCATAGAAGCCCGATTACTCGGGCTACTTTTATTACATCGCTATTTCTTCCCTTACGTTTTCTCGAGGGGGAGAGATTCTTCGTTTCGGATTTTACCGAGAAGAAATGCCAAAAATAACACAATACGTAACCCGCGAAGCCGACGAAAAGTTTAGGAAGACGAAACATAAGTGGTAAATTTTAATACGGGTCTAGACGACGACGTTATTTTAAAGTGAGGGAAGCGGCGTAACGCTTTTAGAGAGAGGGAGACGAAAAGGGTGGACGGCAGAAAATCACTCCTTTCGTCGTTTAACAATTAAGGAAGAGGCTTCTTCCGGGTTAGATAGGCGGGTCCGAAACCGGACGCTAGTAAACCCAGGGGGATGATAAGAAGCCAGGGATCGGCGTTGCGGTCTCGACCGACGGTCCTTTCGGCCATTAAAACAGGGTGCGAAGAAATGCTGCCTTAGGACACGAAGAACAACGGACGGTAAGGATAGAGCGCGAGGAGAATTTGAAGGTTTTCCTAAGAATATTTCCAAGCTTCTGTCACACCGAGGAAAAGGAGTAAGGGGTGCGGGATATAAGTTTGTCGAGCCGAAGGGCCACGGTAAAAGTTTGGTTAAGAAAGTTTGCGTTTCAGATCGGCCGGTGGTAACAGCGGCGGAGAAAGTGGTGTACACGGGAAGAGGAGCCACCGCCCTACTTTCCTGTTTCGCCTACGGAAAGCCTCTTCCCTCAGTGGTGTGGCTGGGCCCCGACGGAACGGCGGTCCGTCCGTCGGACCGTCACCAGCCGGAATCTTCGACAGGCATCCATAGACTGCTGATACGGAGGATACGAGACGAAGACTTGGGAGAGTACGTCTGTCGGGCGGACAATCCGCAAGGAACGGCCCGAGTCAACATCGAACTCAGCGGTAAGAATCCGACGGGAGAGGCGGCTCTTTCGCTTCCTCTTCCGGCTCTCGGCCTCACCTGCTGGCGAGTTCTTTCCGACCCTTTTCCCGCCGCGGAACGTCTTTTAAATTTCGGTAAAATTAACGTTTACTTTTTCCGAAACGGAAACGTAAAAGGTGCCGAGCGCTACGTACGGTACGGCGGTGCCCGGACGTAATTTCTCTTCCGTCCTCACCGTCGTTGGAGGAAACGCGCGAGAAATTCCCCTAGCATTTCCGCCTCCCGCGCTGGGTCCGGTGTCCTCCTTTTTCGTCTACCGTGCGGACGGCCGACCTTTCCTTTCTTCTGCCGGAGGGTGCTGCCGACGTCTCACTTTTTCCATTCGTCGGGAGAAGGACGCGCCACCCGCTGAGGGTTCGGGCGATCGGAAACAATAAAAGAAAAAGTCGCGGAAACTGGCCGGCGGCAACGCTGCACCCTGTCCGTAAACCCGGTTTTTGCTTTTATATTTCTCTGTTTTCACTAATTATTGGGAAAAATGTTGGTTTCGCCTTCGCTATCTTATAGAATTGTAATGGAATATACCCGACCGCGCCCACCTACGTAACACGGGTTTCGTAACCTTTTCTGGAATTCAGCTTTAAAGGCTTTTAAACCGCGTTTTCCCGTAACTTGGACGCGCGACGACACCTTTCTCTACCTTCGTAGCCCCTAAAAACCGTTTGCCCCTATAATCCCTATTGGGCATTCCGCTTAAATCTGCGCGTCTTAATTAAGGCCCACACGTTTTAAATTAATTAACGCGTGGACGGTGCCAGTGTCGGTAAGCGTAGCGCCATCGCGCCACCGTAGGCGGCCGCGGAAACCGGTCCACCCGCTCTTCTTGTGTCTGTGTTACGTGCATCTTGTATTTAATAAACTACCGATGCAAGCGCCCTATGATCTTATCGTCACCCTGCCCCCCTTTTCATCACTTGCCTTCTTCTCTCTTCCTCTTCTTTCACCATCTTTTCAACCCCTTCATTCAACTAGTAGTAGTTCTTTTCCTTTCCCTCCTCGCTGCCGTTTTCTCGTAATTTCTCCCCCCACCTCGTTTGCCCTAACGCCGTCCGTGGGGCCCGTGTCCGTCGTCGAGTAAAAGTGCGACTTTCTTCTGCTGTACTCCCGAATTAGGAAGAATCGCGGGTAGACCGAAGGTGTCGAGCGCGGTGCAGCCGGCCGGTCTGGAGCGATCTTCTCCCCTTTCCCGTTCCGACCGGAAGTCGTCACCGCCCGATTCTTACCAAAAATTACGTACACCGCCCGTGATATGTTTAATTTTTGGTAATGGTGGCGGGGATGGACGAACGGAGAACTCTATTTTCCGCGGGAACGAGGGAGAGTTGTCACCCCGCGGGTGGTTTAGGATCGAGGATTCCGAAACCGAAGCCGAGAGGAAATTTCTCTATATTCCCGTGTCTGTTTCTCGTTCGACTTGTAACGGGGAACGAACCTTTTAGGACTCGCCAGCCCCGCCGAGTTTCGGAAAGACTCTTTGGACCCCGGGGAGGATGCCTATACTCTCCGATGGAGCGTCAAGTCGCACGGTCAAGTGTTGGAGTTTCTCTTGAAGTTCAGACCAATAAACGTTAGTAAGGGAAAGGTAGGCTTCCGTGGCAAACTCGTTTCTTTGACTACACTACCGTCGTTCTTTCTTTTCAAGAGGAGTGACGTCGGGCCGGACGAATGGACCAACGTACGGGTTCCTGCCGAACGCGGTCGCGGTCTAGTGTGGAGCCACGGTTACCGAATCACCGGTCTTCGGCCCGGGACCGTTTACCAGGCAGTGGTACTGGCCAGGAACGAATTTGGATGGAACAGACCCTCGCCTCCCTTTTCCTTCTCTACCACGGGTGCCAGTAAGTAAGATTCTGCTGCCGTTTCCTCTTTCTTCGCAGCTCGCCGTTTCTGCCCTTTGCTTTCTTCTTCCGTTTATCTGCTCATGGCTTTGACCCGGATGTTGGCAAATACAGACAGAAAAAAAGACTCTGGCATTAATGTGGAACTTAAAAATAGATTGGAAAGAAGGGCAAACCGAGATACCGTTCGATTTCGACTCCCGATATCGCCAATCTTCTGTTTCTACATCACTTAACATTGTGGATGATTTGTCGGGTATGTCTTCGTGCAGACCATTATTTTATCGCCCGTGGAAATTCACCGGTATACCTGTAAAACGGGTATCGTGCTAAGTTAATTGGTCGACGTAACAAAATACCACAGAAACAAACACTACTACGGTGTAAATCTGAATAAGCCGTGTAAGTAATCTTCGGTAACATTCTGACATTAGTTTTTCCGGTAAGGACTTCCGTAGATCGCAGGGTACGGGTGTTTCTTAGACGAAACGACGAAGCGGGTTGACTCCATCTGCTCAAACTATTTGGTGGGTAAACAGGGAGAAACTTTACTTTTGAGTATCTTTTTGTAAATTGGAAGTTTCACTTTGTGCATAAAACCACTGAGAAAATGCAGATCGGTATTCCGTCAGAGGTGCGGAACCAATGAAATGTAGAGAGAAAAATATTAAGATGTCCAGTCTGAAGTCCACGTGATACATGACACCCCAAGACATTTGTGTTGTTACATAACTCGAGACTAGACATTTGGGTTGGGGTTGAGGTAGTCCTACATCGATTGGTGTTCTTGTCTGTTTCCCCTATCCAAAGGACAGATGCTTGGATCTTAAAACATCTTTTTCCGTCTAAATGCCCCCATTGAAATACAAACTTCTATTCTGTTCCTTGCCTGAAACGATTTCGCTTTTCTCTTACGCAATCGACATCCTGGAAGGTTTTGGCCTTTGCATTGCTGGGAGTATCGTTATGTTTACCGATGTGTACCGAGTATTAGTCAGTCCATGAAAATGCCTAAAAAATTTGGAATTCGCTTCTAAAGAATTTGGAAGCGAACGTCTATTCTTCCTCCACCTCGTTGTCTTTTCTGGTGCATGAAACTGGGAAATTTGGTAAACTGTTTAGAGTTAAAATATGTTTGTAACTGGGATTTTTGGAGGTTTTGAATGTTGAACACGTGATAGACATAGACAAAAGGCCTTTTTAGTGCCCCATAACATGTTTTAACAAAAATGAAAAGTGTATATATAATAAACTGTACTGTATAGTATTATTTTATATATCCAAAGTCAGAATATTACAATTCATGCTATTTTCGAAAGCGTGATAGTCCATCAAATTGGTTCACGTATTGGTATTTCTAATAGTTTTCAATTCTTCTTACCCGTCGGTGGCCATAGAGAATGCTTTTTGGGAATTCCCACAATAGGACAAGCCGGATAATGATAGACAAGGTCTAATGTATTCGAGAAAGATTACTATTGAACAGCTCCAGATCCCAAGTAACGAGTAAGACTCGAAACTCAGTACTTTCGGTGGTAGAATGATCTCTTTCGGATACCAGTTAGAATCTCTAATTGACTACTTTATTTAGGCGCAATCTCTAATGCTTTGGTTGCAGCCGAACACTTGCCACGTAAAATCGGACTTTTATTCGACATTAGACAACGCCATTAAGTTATTACACAAATATGTTTTCGTACTCTTCTACGAGGAGAGTGTTTTGTTTGTAACTCACTTACTTTCCTTTTCCCTTATCCAACTTGTGTTCTCGGACAGAAACAGAACCGACCAATTCGCTTCTGCTTCCCTCTGCGTAAAATTCCGTCGTGAAAAAAAAAAGTAAAAAAAAAAAGAAGCTGTAATTAAAACAGTTTTATTTGCAGCGGCGGAAGAAGTGGACGATGATCGACTTACAAAAATGGAAGAGAAAGAAACGGATGGAGTGTTTCCTGTAAAATACGGTAAGAAGGAATTCTTGTTACTTAAATTGTTGCACTTTTCTAATAAATTTTACGGATGAATTGACCTTTCTGCACTCGTACTCAACTTTCTCTCCTTCTAAGACACTTCCACCAAATCTACTTAGGCATTTTTATTATTTACACTATACATTGTACTATATTTTAATGAAATTATTATTAATTAACCACTTGGATACATCGGTAATGAATATCAAAGAATAGATTATCGTCTTAAAAAGTAAATATCAGTTTGGAGAAAGTTCTTAATACGAATAAGATAAAAATAAGTAAAACAATATGGTCTTGTTTTATGCTGGGAACTCTTATTAACAGAAATTCTGGGCAATTTCGTTCTCTACGCGGAGTGTTGTTGCCTAGAAATTAAACCCATTACATTTAACAGAAGTCCGATCAACGGGCTGGCCACGTGGGGTTTTCTTTATTTGTCTAACACCTAAACAGGAGCCAATTTTTATTTAAATTCCTCTCTTGGCAGTTATGCTTCTGTTCCTTTGTCGACCAAACCAATTAACAACAAAACGTTAAAATTAATTTAAAATATTTTACTTATATTTTTATCACAAACAATTACATTTAAGTCTGACGTTTCCGAATATACAGAGTAAAATTTCGTTTATCATATCAAGTAAACTATTCGAGAAACATACGCGCAAACTAGCGTGTACCACGGAGAGTGGCATTCGATACATTTCCCATTTGTTTTTTTTTTTCATTGAATAATCATCTTTTTCCTAACTTGGAAATCAGAGTCATCCCTGTTCTGCCCAAGCACCACAAGGAAAACGTTTGCTTTATTATCATCAATCATTAAGACATAATACATACATCAAACAGATACATAGGAAACAAATAAGTATAATAACAGATTTTGCATAAATATCGCGACAACTCGTGACCCATTATAGGGGAGCAGCGCGTCCCTCGAGCTCTCACGCAAGGACCTTTCGCGCGAAGGCGTTAAGTTCTTTTCGAATGTCCTTGTTTCTTATTAGATGATAAAGATCAGTGCTAGATGTGTTGTGATCCCGCTGAGCCAGAATATAAAGTTCCATTCTTTCTCTTTCAAATATGGTACATTCGGTAAAGACACGTTCGAAAGTTTGGTTCTCATCACCACACTCACAGTTTTAGTTTTGTGCTCTTGCTATTTTATTGAGGTAGTCCTTAGTATTGCAGTGGCCTGAGTAGACTTGGCTTCTTATAAAGTGAGTTGACAACTTGTGCCTGTTGCTACTCTGGCCGGTGCGTTAAAGATGCGCGTGCACTATTTCCACTTCAATAGCATGGGGAAGCCATATCCGGCGATTATCCGGCACTACTACAAAATATATCAACTCTTTTCCTACTTTTATGCTTATCTCTTCCATTTTAATAGTTGGGGTCCTCTTATAAAGGTTCGGAGTATTCCCTGCAAAAAGACGACTACCTTTGTATATCAACCAATAAACTGTCATATTATTTAGAGCCGAATGTATATATTCTAAACTTTAAATCTTAGGCTGAAAGACGTCATAGGAACAACATGATTATATATTATCATTTATTATACTTGAATTTTAACTTTATTTTATACCGAAATAACAAAACACTCTATCGTCTTTCACTTACACAATTGGTATGTTATTGCGCTATTTTGTCTTGTAATCGCGCAATATGTTTTTATATTTTAGAAAATACAAGGGAAGCGGCTGTTCCGCAGCTTCCATGGACGGCACGCCGCTGGAGGAGAGTATATATTTTAAATTAAATAAATTAAAATAAAAATATGATTAAAAATTGCAGCCAAGCATTGCGACGATGTCACAATAAATATTTGTTCTTTTGATATTAGGTTCTCATCAGTCGTATTAATCATAGGTTGTATATTGGAGAATTAGGTCTAAATCGTAATATACAGTGAAACCTTCTTCTAGCGGACACCTGTACTTAACGACCAAAATGTTCCTTAAGAATAGGAATGTTAGGCAAATACTGCTTTTTTTTCAGAAAATGAAAACATTTCCTATTTGTCTAAAATACAGCATTAAGGTTCCGTCGACTCTTATATCAATTACGGTTTTATAACGTCAATAATAAACTTTTTGTCTTACAGAGGTAACAATGGCCCCCGAGAGTAGCACAGACGAAGACGGAGCTGCCGGCCTTCGAGAGTTCTTTCCTAGTGCCTTACTCATCTGCTGTCTTCTGCCGCTTCTCCGATAGAAGAGTTTTCTGCCCGGTTCTCCTTTCCTCCCTAAGGACAACATGCCGGTGGCGATTTTCTTCCCGGTTCCTTTTTTTCCCGCTGTACCCAGTTCCGCGACCGTGTCTTACCTGGCCTCCACCTCGACGTGCCAAAAGGAGAGGACGGTGCTCATTGTGGTTAGACTGTTGATGTTTCGCGTGTAGTTCGGGAGGAGGCGGGCTCCTTTTGAACTTCATTCTGCACGTAGGCAGATCTGACCGTTGTCGTCTCCCGCCATCAAACGGCCCGCCTCCTCTCGTTCTTATATTCGATAATAAAGGAATTTTCCTTCATTGGAATTCTCTTTATGCAGTCCTATTGACTCAAAAACAAAAAAGAATTTCATGTCTTTTGTCCATGTGAAAGAATTACTCGAATAGGAAACGCCCCGCACATTCTTTTAAAAGTTCTTTTCCATAAAAAATACAACCTACAAGCCAAATATTTTTCGTAACCTCTTCCCATTTCAACTACGACATTTATTTTTATTTCCGAAAAATGGCGACCAAACAAAATGTTAGGACAGACAATTCGATTACACTGATTTCCTTCAGCAGCTTGCTTTTATTTCCATGGATTCTTATTTTAATAACAAGTAAACGTTTCTCGTTTGCATATGCTTTGGAGGTAGGATGGCAGATGCATAATTATTAAAAACAAGTCCTGTATCTTAATACAGGACAAACGGTTAACGTAAGTAAACTGTTACAAAACTTGATTCTCGATTAGTTGTATTTGGAATACAATTTAAATACATTTAATTCTTTATTACAAGTCAACACAGAAATGTTTCTCGTATTGAACTACATTGCCTTTACCGAGTTATATTCAAATAAACATTGAAGTGTCCACAAAAGAAAGCGTGCGTAGAGTGAGAAACACAAAGTGGTGGCTGCATCAACAGTGCGTGAACTTATAACTGTTTTTGTTGAAAATGGAAGTTAATGAAGTGTCAAGAATTCAAGTAATCTAAGAGTAAACTAGTGCCACCATACACTAACACGCATACATAGAGGAAAAACTTCAGAATTCTTTTGCATTTCTCGACGTTTCAAGATGTTCTGAGTAAAAATCTTGGAGATTTGAGGTCATTTTTTGACTGATCGCCATACTTTCCTTCTTTTATATACTGTATAACAACCGAGAAAGTAAAAATTATTATTGCTTCAAAGCGAGTTAAATCTATTGTTAACTAATAAAAATGTTACATCTATTAATAAATGAAATGACCAGAACAATAATAAATACCAGTGGTTCCCAAACTTTTTAACCCCTTCGTCGGCGTTGGATCGGCGAGATCCGTTCATTTGCACCGGATGGCTGTCTTACGTTACGCGCTTCTACGCGATCTTCGATTTTCCTATTTGATGCCAGTGGGAATGTTTATCGAGGTGGGCGATAAGGTGTCGGATTCTCGAGGAACTGATCGAGTTGGAGGATAAGGCACAAGGCAAAAAGATAATAGCTTCTTGTCGGACGATCGCGTCGAAGATCGGGTGCGCTCGCGTTATATCCTCATCAGGTGTGGGAATCTGATCGGATGACCTTTTATTTGGTAGTGTGCCATCGCTGGACGGTGAGAATTAAACAAAATCGACTAGCAGGTTTAATATTTCTTTGCATTGTTTTTTGATTCGCCCCGTTGACTTGGTTAAATGTCAACTTTCTCACGCGTTAACAATTGATTGTTATAATGTATTTTCGAAACTTCCTCAGGTCGATGCGAGGGAGAAGGAAATTGATGCTTCAAAGACCCTTACAAACACGAGTTTCTTAGTTGATTGTTGACAGTTAAATTAACATTCGATCGTCTCCCGTTATTAGTTTCGTGGGAACAGGACGGAATAAAGAAAAGTTTCTTATAATTCCCTTTTTATCGCGAATTTACGGAAAAATACTTAGTTTTTATCACAGCGATAGCCAAAAACCCAGCTTCGCGCACGAAAGAAGTCGCAAATGGAATTAAAATTCTCTGAGCTTTACCACTCAGAAGAGGATATTTACCTTTTACTGGTATCCAAAATAAATATCCAACAAAACTTAGCAGCAATAAATTCCACGCTGCTAAATTTTGTTTTAAAACTATTGTCGCGAGACAACTCAGTAAGATTGTCTTTTTCTGCAACAGTAAATTCACATAAAGCACTGGCATTAAATGGATCTTGAATCCATGCAAATTTATCGATATAATAATTTTGAAAATATCTTTCAAACCAGGTGATAATGATTTTCAAAGGGAATTCGGTGTTGGCGACTTTTTTTATTCACCTTCTCCAAACAACGTTTTGCTGTGAAACGTCAGACAATACAATAATTTCTAGTGGTATAAGTATAATAATGAATTTGATACCATTAAATCTAATTTTATTGGTTGGCATTGAAACAAATCCTGGTCCTCCGCAACATTCACCAGTTAAGGTAAGTCAAACTGATATGCAAAAAAGGGGGCGTGGAAGACCTAAAAAGGAATACGCACGAAATTCTGAAGATACAAGCCAACTAGTGGGCATTATTAGAGAAGAATATATTTCTGAGGAAGAAACTAGGATTGAGGATTATTTTGAAACATCGGAACAATTTAACCAGTCAAGTGATAGTGAATCGAGGTACTCGTTAAAATCAATCTATAACTTAATTCAAGAAAAGTTTGAACTATTAAATCAAGAAATTCACTCAATGAGACACGACGATAATATAAAAATTAGAGAAGAAATGAAAACCATTTTACAAAAAAGTCAGCAATGTGAAGATAGAACAAAGTCCTTCGCAATCCTAAAAGATATGTTTGAGTTTGAATTGGATAAATTACATAATAAAAACACTAAAAGGAATCTGGTCATAATTAATTTTCCATTTAAAACTGCAAAAACTAAAAAATTTCATAGACCTTGACCTAAAAGACATAGAAACAGAAGGTCTAATTCAATTAGATAAAAGAAACTGAAATAATCAAATGATAAAATTAATAACAGAGTCGGTTAAAAATAGAAACTTGATACTTAAAATATTCTGGATATTGAGACCGAATATAAAAGAAGAAATGGAAAAAAACTATCATTAAAACAGATTTTTGTACAAGATCTAGAGTTAGAAGGAAACTAATGCTTAATGCTCTAGATATTAATAATAATGAGTTTATAATAATTAACTCTTTTTTGGGGAAAATTACCAAGTATTAGCAAATAAAGCAGTGGTATTAACAAATGAATTGACTGGTATCCATAATAATCATCCAAATGATAATTGTAATAGTTATAAAATTGAAAAGAAGTTTTTCTCTGATAGATATAGTCTTTTTGATACACGTTTGGTTATTTGGAGGAGGCTTAAATTCTGGAATTGATGAGATGTCGGACACAGAGATATATTTAAATTACGAAAATATTAACATCATCAGACAGTCCAAAGATTTTAAACAGCGAAAGCAAAATTCTATTAGAATTTGTTCAGGAAAACCAGAATGAAAGGTGATATCCCAGCAGAATACACTTATGTATCTCAAAATAGAAAATCGATTGCAGATTTTATGCTCCCAAACATTGATTGGAAATTGTCAGATCTTAACTGTATGTGATGAAGATACCTCGGTTCATTTTCCTATACAGCTCACGCTATCAACTAAGTTGTATACAGGAAGAAATATAAAAAAAGAAAACATATTGGATTTCAGAAAAAAATATGAATTTACAATTGATAAGACAGAATGGTTAAACAGAGTAAACACTATAACAGCCGATTTGATAAGGCGGGAAGGAAAAGACAACCTGATCGATAACTATTCAGAGAGACTAATACACCTGAAACACTGTCAAACCCCCGAAGAGTAAAAAAATATATGTTAATTTAATCGAAGCTAAAAAGAAATTATACATGACCAACATTAATAAAAAGCTGATTAAATCAAGAGATACGAGAACCTTTTGGAAGGTTATTAACAACTTTCCTAAACCTAAATTGGACTTTTTAAATGTACAAACAATCGAATATATTGAATGGATACAATTTTTCCAGGTATTCTCGCGGATGTATTCGCATAATCAAAGGAATATTCGCAAGCTAGATAAAATAGTTTATCAGATCAATCAGGACTAGATAATAAGTGTGGAAAAGGAGCAAAACGTATTCGAAAATTAAATCGGCTCCAGGGTCAGATGGTATACCTAATTCTTTCATTCAATTGTTGCCTTATAAATTTATTCAATATATAGCAAGATTATTTAACAACATTTATTCAATCGGTATTATTCCAACTAATTGGAAGGAGGTAATTTTAACTATGATTTATAAACGAGGAAACAAATATGCCCCTGCAAATTACAGACCAATAGCCCCATTGTCCAGTTTCAGAAAACTTTTCATTGCAATACCGGCAGAGAAATTTAAACAATGGATAGACACAATTACAAGAATCCCACACAATATGCATCTAATATATAATCGAGAGGGGTTGTTAATAATAATAATAATAATAATAAGCGCAGAGCCCAAACGGTTAGGAGTTGAAAGTTGAAATTGGTACACAGTTAGGGTACGTTTACTACGTTAGGAGAACGCACACTAAGAAGGGATTTTTCGAAATTCCTCCCCACGGGGTAGAGAGACAGGATTAAGGCTTAACACTTCCATCAACAATGGAAGTGTTAAGTAACAATGGAAGTTTTAAATAACAATGGAAATGTCAACAATGGAAGTGTTATGTAACAATGGAATTGTTAAGAGAAAGCGACGTGCAAGACGCAGATGCAACTTTTTTTCGTTTTTGCGGGAAATCGAACATATTTTTAGACCCATCTAAAAATTCTCTAATTAGTCTGGAAACAAGAGGACCCAATTCTTGCATTCTGTGAAAACGGGTAAGGTTGACTGTAACGTAATAATCTTTATCTTAGTTATCGTTACTTTTGCCCGAGCAACGCCGGGCCCACCTCCTAGTATATAGGTAATGGAGAGGTACTCAAAAATCCCTGTTTATTAGTGGCGTGCCGTCATATTTTTATGTGCGTTTCTTTACAAAGCTATATTTAATTATAATTCTCTTTAAAAGTATATTCGTACAAATGAATAATAATTTGTACCGGGTATGTACCGGTACGTCCACCACACATTTTACTTCACCGAGTAAGTTTTTATTATTTTATTTTGAATTGTAGCCCTTATATCGTGATTAGCGATTCGGAATGTAATTGTGATATTAAAAATGCATTTAGAAAAGTCTACAGTTTTTACTGGCTTATCGAAAAGAATGATACGAATGGACCCTAGACCAGGCCTGGCCAACCGCGGCCTGCAGGCCGCATGTGGCCCGTCACGTTCAATTGTGTGGCCCGCTA